CCAATATATAGTTATAAATCCCTCTATCAAACTGGAATGAACTGCTATGGAAGCTGGAGGGCGGGGTGTGAAGTGTGTCTTTTGGATTTAAAGAGACAGCCTCAAAACAAGTTGATCGGAGACATCTCAGAAATGGGGTGAAAAAGGGGATTGGGAGTTACAACAAGGAGGAATTCAGACCAAAACATTGCAGTTCCTCTTTATGTAGACCCTAACTGAATGATTTAAATGTAAAAAGAAGGGTTTAAAAGSGTGATATGTCTCCTTTAAACTTTTAAATCATCAAAAATGGCCCAAAGCCATAACATGGCTTTTCATAAAATGTAAAAGTCTTTCTTGCTCTGCAATAACTGTTGCTCCTGCAACTTGAAGATTCATTAAAATAAAATAATTTTAAAAAGGATGAATCACTCTGTAAATGCACAATCGATTTGCTGACCATTAAAAAAAAAATTAAAATAAATCAAAACTACATATTCCGATAAAACATTTGTTAGAATTATTTGGTGTAAGCATGACAATGAACATATTCATGCTGCTTCAAATGAAAAAAAGTACATGTMAAACTATATTTGACTCTGATGTATTGTTCGAATTTGGTAATTTAGTGTGTAATTAACCAAACCAGCTTGACTTGCGGATGGACGAGATGCAGCAAGAGCTAAACGCCAGTCTCGCTATTCATCTTTCTATCCATCAGAAACAGATTATCACATGGCCAGCGCTCTCCTGCAGGTCATATTGATTCCATCAAAAGACCAGCATGCATGAGAATTTGTGAAGCGAGCGGAGAAAATCGAGCTAGACCAAACAGCCAAGCTCCAACAAGTCCGCTCTCACTGTTATTCTGTGGTTAGTTTCATGGTCAGAAAATAAACAAAAGTGGTTTAAATCATGGAGCCAGAAACAGTTTAACCTCAGGCTCTTTAGAAATTACAGAAAAAAAATAAGACTTTTGGTTGATGCTTTTGTTTCCCCACCGCTGCAATAGGGGAACCCAAAGAATCCTGTCTGGAGCCCTCTGAAACGCAAATCCACGCTACAGTGCTTACATTCTGCTCTCCGGGGGGAAAAAAACCTCATCATTTGCATCAAAGAGAAAGCGCCCATATTTCTCTTAAACACACAAGAGAGGAGGAAAAGACAGGGATGCTTTCATTTGCTGACTTCCTTTAAAATGGACAGTGAATATTACAGCTGAATCACATATGCTGTTTATTATTCTTTCATTTGAATACAAAAGGAACCCAAAGAGACTTGTGAGTTGGGTTCTACAGGAAGATCAGCCACAGTGAATGCAACATTTGCAGGGTCAAAGTCAGTGCCACATAAAGAAAAATGTCAATTGGCTTGTTATGTTAAATCAAGCATAAAATGTTGTCTTTTACATTTATAGTGAATCACAATACCGCAAATTTATTATACATGTCCGATTTAAGATRAAAGCGTAACTGCATATCTGCTAGACGTGACATGTAAACACAAATCATAGTCTCTTTGGAAGTTTGCATGGTATTTAGACAAAATGTACAAGTAGTATAGATCAAACCATCTCAGCACAGCCTGTTAAAATTTAGTATGATGAGAAAGAATATCGTCATTGTTGTGGTATGCTTACTTTTTTCTGATGCCACAGGAAAGCTAAAGTTACATTCTTTTTTTTTTTGCCTATGACATTCTACATCTATTGGAGCAAAATGTCTAAAATGAAACTGCTTGGACTGCTATGAAATGTGTTGCAGACATTTGTATCTGCATCAGGAATGATTACAATGATTGATATTTTATGTAGCAATATCAGATGAAAATTTCCACTGTAGGCAATTCTTATCACAATAAACACTAAACAATTACCAAAACAGAAAAACAAGTAGGTCCTCTGGATGGGTTCTGTTTTAGTGAAACGTTTCACCTCTCCTCCAAGAGACTTATTCAGTCTGATGAGTTTCAGGTGAACTCAGCCTTATAAGTACTGTCTCCACATGGTGGACAAACAGGTTAATCACATGCAAAAGAGGGCCATCGCCTAACAATAGGCTTGATTAGCTCTATTGTTCATAGAGGGTCATGTGCCCCATCACCTGACTTATTGGTTTGGATGCTTCGTCTGTGGTTATTTGGTGTTTTGTTATTTGTATGTAGTGACTGCAAGCAGAGTTCAACATCCCCTTGTTTTTGTCCCTCTTCCCCCTATTTGTTTTGGGAATCATTGTGGCCTTGATTCACACCTTTTGCTCACAGGGGGCTGAGTCATACTTGCAATAAGAGCATTGTAGGAGGAGGACAACTGGACATGAAGGCCTCCACCTTTGTTTAATGGTGGATGGTTTTTCTTCACAAAGATGGCTTCCTTTACTCCTCTCTATCAAGGATGAGAACATCTTCATCCCTGAAAGAGTGACCGCTGGCCTGTAGATGAGTGTAAACTGCAGAGTCCTGACCCGACGAAGTAGCTCGTCTGTGCTGGCTCACTTTTTTGAACAGTGTTTTGTTTCCCCAATGTATAACTGATCACAGTTCTCCTGATACTTAACAGCATATACTATATTACTCTGTTTTAGCAGGGGAACTGGATCTTTGGGGTGAACTAATCTTTGTCGTAATGTGTTTTGGGGTTTGAAAGCCACTGGGACGTCATGTTTAGAGAATAAATGTCTCAGTTTCTCTTTTTGATTTTTTCTACCTGGATTACTGAGATGCATCAGGACACTAAACAATTACATAAAWGTAGGTCTCAGTTATACTGTATAAATTTCAGTGTCAGTATTTTTAAATGCAGACAGTAGTGATATGTTCTATTATAACAGAACAAAGATTTTGGTTTTGCTCCGAGTTTTCTCAAGAAATAAGATGACTTGTAGGAACTTCTATRAGATAGAAATGTTGTACATAAAGAGAAGCTTCTGTGGATTAAACACTGTAAACCTGAGTGTAAAAAGGGTGAAAAAACTAATTTGAAATGTGTCAGTAGATCAGACAGGAAAGMAAATTGCACTTTATTTTACAGAAGTTCCTAAATCTAAACTTATGTTTAAATGCATACATACCTTCACTTAGAAATGCAGTCATTTTGTCTTTGAAGGGTTGCAGGTTTTCTTCAGAGGACAACTTGTAAACCTTTTCTGTTTCAGATAAACATACTAAAAGGAACAAACAAGAAAAAACAGCTGCAATAAGTGATTGTTCTAGAAACACTTATCAGTATTGATAATGCAAATATACTGTAAATATTTTTTTTGCATTTAAACCCTGAATCTTGAATACTTTTGGATTAAATTTCTGCTGAATAAGTGGAAAGCACAATAACCACTATGGTACATGAAGGAAGTAGGTCAGGAGTGTTGTGATCCCAAGTGGAACTTATTGTCATGCTCTATAAGCAATCACAACAGATACACAAACAGAGCTGAATGCCCGAGAGGTGGAGAAGATTACAGGAACAGGGATGCTGGGAYTAAGGAGATGGTAATCCAAAGACCATATGGTTCCTCAGCCAAACACAAGCACCATGAACCCTCACTACGATGTGTTCCTTGCTGATGTCCCAGTAGGTCCTACTACACCATCTACCAATTAGACCACCCCAGGGAACAGTYAAAGCCCACGTCTGGTAGAGTGTTCAGCTGAATCTGCTTGGTGATTAAGAGGTCTTCAGGTATGRCAGGCGATGATACATTTATTCATGGCTAACCTGTGCCACAGTGACTAAGGTTCAAAGCTCATCCCCCCCCCGTGAGCAACAGCATTTTAATAAATTTCTAAAGAGTCATTAAGGCAGAGGCAAAACAATATTTTGTCACACAGCTCGGGACACTGATTGGTTTAGCAGCAAAGACGCATAAAAGAATGATGGGGAACAGACCATGTTTGGGGAATTGTTGATGGAGCTGTTGGCACGCGCATGCACGCACGCACGCACACACACACACACACACACACACACACACACATTTTAAAACCTGCGTCATGAAGCAACCTGGGAAATTGTTTTACCTGCTGAGGAACTTCAGAGTGTGGAAAGGGGATGCTTTAATACTACCTGATTTATTAGAACTCATCAAGCAAAAGTTTTTACCCCCCCAGTGGTAATGATGTGCCTTTTTTTAATGGGATAAAAAAAATACGGTTTCACTGATGACAAGAACAAGTATGTCTGTGATTTTTAAAAGCTTATATGTTCATTGTAAACACTTATTTGAGAATTTAAAAGAACAGTTATTGGCAACAACACAGATGTCTAGCCAGCAGATGTACAAACTCTGAATTTCTTATGAAGATTTAAATATTCTGTTTTGTTGTTGTCAAAAATTGGATAAATCAAACTAAAGTTCCTTGTTGAGATCATGGAAGTGGTGATGAATGGATGGATGAACCTCATTTAGAAACCATTCTGATTTATGGTCCCGCCATCATGATGCATAAGGAAGACAGAGTATTAGAACAAGAATTATAAGACTGCAAATTATAGCTACAACATCCTACAACATCAATTTTTATTTTTCTATGAAAACTGATTTGCATTGAAATTTGTGCACAATTTTATTGATCTTTACTTAACCAGGCAAACACTAATGAGATCACATATCTCTTTTGTAAGGGAGGCCTGGGCCTGAAGGCAACCTATTGAGTATGCTTATCTGTGTGACAAAACCAGAGTACCCGGTGAAAACCAACGCAAGCACGAGGAGAACTTGCACTCTTTGCACAAAAAGAGCCTATAGGTCTGAACCCAGGACCTTCTTGCTGCGAGGCATCAATGCTAACCACTGAGCCGTCGTGCTGCCAAAGACCGTATAGGCTTTCTTTTGAGTAAATTCAATTGCGGAACCGTTTCTAGCCAGCAGATGTACAAACTCTGAATTTCTTATGAAGATTTAAATTTTCTGTTTTGTTGTTGTCAAAAATTGGATAAATCAAACTAAAGGTTCCTTGTTGAGATCATGGAAGTGGTGATGAATGGATGGATGAACCTCATTTAGAAACCATTCTGATTTATGGTCCCGCCATTATGACGCATAAGGAAGACAGAGTATTAGAACAAGAATTATAAGACTGCAAATTATAGCTACAACATCCTAAAAATATGGGCCTGTTGTTCAAACAGGCAACACCCACTGAAGCTTAGTACTTTTGTTGGTTTGTTTTCACTGAATTAAAAAATATGAGCTTTCCAGTTTGATGGGCTTGAAGAAAAATAGATTTCTATTCAAAGAAAAAAATAGATTTCAATTTGTTCTTTAAGCAGAGGCTTTTAAACGGCTCTGTGACTGGAAGTCACGTGATGTTAAGCATCTTGCCCAGAGGCAGAACTTGCTGACCATGTGAAGCAGAGATGGAAACCCTGATCAACAACCACTCGGGTCTCCTGAGATACAGCCGTCTCCTTGAGGTCATCTGATGAAATCGCGCACAAAGGCAGAGAAAGCTCCCTTGACCATGACCTGCTTTTATTTTGATCTCAGCTCCATGAGGACAGTAAAGGCATGCCAGGTCCAACAGGAGTCTATATTTGACAAGTCACATCTGCTTCTGGTTAACTCATCTGTACGACAAACAGATGCTATCTCTGTGTTGATCCGTCTCTACAGTCTGCACGACCAAAGCTATGGTTACATTTGGAAATTGATTAAACATCGCACACGATATTTAAAAGAAATGAATCRCAATTGATAAACAATTCAAGTGGGGTGAATGAATCATARGTTTTATGCAAATCACATTTCACAYTCACCAATAAATRTAGTTATAGCAGCAAAATTTGCAACCTAGTAAACTTTCTGTAAGTTTACAATCCAAGCGTGAGTAAGAGTCTTAAAACAAAGTGGAATGTATAGAATGTCGATAATACCATTTAGATCTTTCCTCAACTTGCGTAGATCTTTCTGAAAGTCCTCAAACTTCATTTGGGAAGCTTGAAAAAGGTCCTGGGGCTCAGGCAGAGGGTAKATACACGTCTCTTTGCCAGCATCCTGATAAACGACAACACACAGGATGATGCAAAACACACACCAATGTCAAAGTCAATTGTCCTCAAACAGGAGAGGGCCTCTTTGTATTGAACACACGGTACAAGGTTTAGATAAAATACCTTCAGAGACCAACATGGACTTATCAGTAGTTCAAATTTCTCAGGAAAAAAAAATTGCTGGAACAAAAAATGACCTTTGTGCTCCATCCAGAAACTACATGCCATTTCTCTCAATCAGTTACTACAAGGACGTTATGAGAGCTCCAGCCTTGTCATGCAGGTTGTTTTTGGCAAGCAGCGTAACTGAGTTCATCTCATCTGGAGAACCTAATTATTTACACAAACACTCCTTTGGATGCTGTGCCAATGAACCGACTGCAGGTCTGAATGGAGCCAAACCAAAGCAGATCATACACAACACGAAGAGAAGGGGGAAAAAAACAAAACAACAAAAGTCGTAAGACAAAAGAGAGAGATTTGTCTGTGTTGTAAATGAAGAAAGGGAAAACAAATAATTTGATAAAGGATAAGTCATGGTATCCTCTGGCAAGAGAGGAAATGAAAAGAGAGTTCTGGAAGCATTTCTAAGCAAATCAGACTAAAACAAGAAGAGTGATTCAAATAAACAGGAAGTGAAACATACCTCATCAAAGTGCCTTAAATAGTAAGCAACTATGTAGGACAAAAGACTTGTGGAGTTATCCTGGAAAAAAAAAGAAAAATGTCAAAATAAATAAACCTGAATCTATTATTGATTCATTTTGAAGCAGAACATTCTAGTTCATGGAAACACAAGATGAGCAGAAAACGAATCATCTTAGGAATAAATCAGGATAGTAGAATAGTAACACAAGAAAACAACAGTTCTGGACGAAGCCATCATAACTCAGACTCAGTGGAAAGTTTAATGTTCCTTTTGGATAACTTGGTGCTATCATCACAACAAGAACACACACCACACACTTTACCTTATAAGGTATTTTCAAGGGCACACAAGGCCTGTTGTGATAAAAAATTGTAAACAGAACGGGCTTCACCTCTAAATCTCCACAGCTATGCTTCACAAGTTTGGCACTGGCAAGGTTCCCTTTTAAAATTCTGAACTCCTGATCCTAAACTTTGACAATAAATAGAGCAATTTGAAGATTGTAGATAAACACGTAAACATGTCTCACTTATTTAGCACAAGTTTATAGATGTCCATTCCTTCCAGTTTGCCTGTGAATTCCACATCTGCTCTTGTAAAGTGAGTGATGCTCGCTCCTATAGCACACACATACTCACGCTGCTTTTAACATCCTTTAGTTTTGGCAGAATGTCCAAGGTGAAGCCATCGGCCTGCCCTCGAGACCGATTACCTCCGTTCATGAAGTTGCCAAAAGCCAGCACGAGGCCAAGCACCTGCAGTACACTCTCACTGCTTTTGAGAGTCTACAGAACACACATGTAAGATCAAGTTAAGATGGATTGAGTGACAGGAGGGGAAAAATGTGCTGGAAAAAAAGCCAGCTGTTCACCTTGCACACTCTCTGCAGGATTTCCATTTTGCGGACGATTAAGGTGATGCACTCATGGAAGGTTGATTGAAACAGGATGCAAAACACCCGCTCAGTGAAATTGGTGATTTGCGATAACTGGTAAAGGAACCTGATGAAGGTAYAAAAGCCGTTAAAACAATTTATATAAGGAAAGATGGTTTATTTATTGTTTCAGGGTGAGGGACTGACTCTTACTGTTCTGGCTTGTCAAGTGGTTTGGCATTATCCTTGTCTTTGACCGATTGCATATGCTTTTTAATGCTTCCTATCTCATCATCTTGAGCTCTCTGTCAAGAGAAAAATGCAAGTTATTTTAAAATGAAAACATGTGGGATACAAATATGTGAAATAATTTGTATAACAAACCTGGACTAAATATAGTCATAAATAAAGAGAATTTAAAATCCACGTTTCAAAAAGCTGAATTTATATTGTGACATTCATATAAATACTTTTATCACTTGCAATAAAAAGAGGGAGATTATCAATAAATAAATGTGTGTGTTTATTTGTCTAAGAAAAAAAATCTTAAGAGCCAGTAGATGTATTTCATTCAATCTCTCAAAAAGGAATTATTTGATATCCATTAACTTTTAGAGTTAGCCTGATTCTAGACAGCCACCACAAGTAATAAACACAAAAATATCTATAATTCAAATAAATTACAATATTGTTTGTCCAATAAACTTGTTTTCACATATTTCTAACTTAATAGTGCACTGAGAAAATAAAGTACACACTTTTCCAGGTTCTGTTCTAATTCAAGCATATTTTCAAATCAAATACAAATTTTGGGTACCAATAGACTTAGGAATGTTAAAGTAGATTTAAGTAGTTTTTTTCCCCATTTCTCAAATCAGGCACACAATATTCATTATGAAAACCCTAAAGRAAACAGGTTTTGATTGATCGATGCATTAACAGTTAGGTGAATGTACTGCTCATTTCTACAGAGCCCACGAGGGGACATGGGGGGATTTTTTTTTCTTTTGCATTCCCACACAATACCTTTGCGTTACCTCGCAATATCTTTACGTTCCCACGCAATACTTTTGCCTCACCTCGCAATACTTTTGCGTTACCTCGCAAAATTGTTTTGCGTTCTCACGCAAAAGATTGTTCCGCAACATTCGAACTGAATTGAATCAGACTTTTATTTTATTACTTATTTTGAAATATCCGGTTACCAAAACAGGATGTGTTGCCACAAGTTTGTGAAATTGACATTGATGTTGCGTGGCTGCACTGTGTTAAAATATCAGCATGTGACAAACTTCCATGCGTTGCTGTGTGAAATATTCATTCTGAAGCTGAATTAAAGCAGTAGGCTAACTCGCTAATGGTGAACATGTGAATTTGTTRATAAACCAGCAGGCACAACATTGATAAACAACTTTTGCGAGGGAACGCAAAAGGTATTGCGAGGWAATGCGATACTATTGCGTGGGAACGCAAAAGAAAAAAAAAAACACATGTTCCATCGCTGGCATGTACATTTCAWTTCAAATTTCAAAATTTATTTTATTAAACCATCTGACCTCCATTAAAATTTCTTAAACATAAAATAACCCTCAACCTTTTTTTGAGCTTTAATACTTAAACTAAGCAATATGCAAACTTGTTCAACTTGTCCATGTAAGTTTCTAAAATGCTGAAATGTAGATCTTTGGCAAGACTACATTCCTGAGCATTATCCTGCTGCCAGGCACTGAACCACAGCTTTACACAAGGTGGTTTTGTAAAGTGCAATTCCAAAAATGCCCTCTCTTTTTCACAAGAGGCAAGGACAATAGATGCTAAGGTTTCAAAAGCAGATGGGCAAAACAATAAAACCATCCCCAGGAAGATAATGTAAACTCTCAGTCTCCCAGAGCCCACCGACCCTAAAAGTTGGAGTCTCGGTGCTCTGGTTCCCCCCGCTTCRTTTTTTCCATCTTTCTCTCTGGAGTTCAGCCCCGGCATGGATCCTTGAAAAACATCAAACGGCAGCATCAAACGCACTGAAAGCCCGATTAGTATTCTACACACCGCTGCCTTGTGTCGGCGAGGGCAGGCTTTCCTTCGCCTTCTCTTGAGATGTTTTCAAGTGTAAATATATTTAACACAAAGCAGATCCTTTTCAAAGGGCAGCAGTGGAGCCCAGCAGTGTTTGGTGTAATTGGGGACAAGTAGGCATTAGCGTGTGATCTTTGAATTGCTAGGGCATGTTGCAGCAGTTGTTAGCATGAGAAATACAGTCCCATGTGGAATATCGAATGCAAAGGAGAGTTGGGATGATATTTGTGATGCCAGAATCCAAGTAGCAGCCAAGTGGTATTCATTAGCCTGGTTCCTAGAGCAGGGTCTAAGGAGAGCCAGACAGAGCTTWATCACTATTTATGTCACTCAGTTTCAAGACTGAGATTCATGAGAATTATGGTACAGCAAGCTGCCAATGCAAAGGCCCCTAAAAGACAAATTGCACTATGCAATAAAGACTTGTTAGAGCCCAGTAGTAAATTATAAAAACAAAAAAAGGAGGAGGAGATCATTTATAGTYTGTGGCTCTAGCTGACTGCAGAGACTTTTAGCCACTGCAAGCTAAAAATGGAGCCTGAACTTCACGCACACCAGCCAGGGTCCAGATCATGGCTTGATATTAGGGTATAAGTGGGAGCAGTGTCCCACTATCACTGACCCCCCCTTTTTTAAATGGCAGTGGCTTTGTTCAAAGGAGAGTAGTGGCCGTCCTTCCACAGTTCACAGACCGAGCGGCTCTGCCTGCGCCTTTATCTGCACGCAGTACGGTATGTGCACATGTGTGGTTCGACATGTTTGTTTGTGAGCGTGTTTGTGTGAGTAAGTGGGGGGGGGGGTGATTGGTGGGCCTGATGCATAGAGCACATTTACTTAGCCAGAGGAGTAAATGAGTATTGGTGGTGGGGGGGGGGGGGGGTGAGGGAGAGTAGTTTGTGATCTAGATCCTAACAGCGAGTGAGGGTGTAACCATTAGGAGCCCCTCACATTCCTCAAGACAGGCTGACTGTGCTGCCAACTGTGGTTTAGGGGGCTGGAGACCCACAGACAGGATGGAGTCTCGCAATACAAAAGAGAAACAATTTGGCTCCTTGACTCAATAACACAGCCTCAGGCCGTACGAGGGGAAAAAGGAGAGAGTGGTGGCGGTGGTATAGTGGTGGTAGTGGGGGGCCTCGAAGTCTCAGGGCGAATAGAGAGGTTAGAAGACTTTTGATCCTAAGTTATGACRTATCGCTTCATAACTGCAGAACGTCTCGAGTCATGGTCTCATTCCCGTGATCAACATTAATAATATGCCTCTGGCAGCCAAAGGTCCAGGCTTCTCCTGTGTAGTGGTGCCAAGAAGCCATTCACAGGAATTTCACAGCATCTTAAAAATGCATCACTGTTAAGATGTGGAAAACATGCTCATTTTCATGTTCCATAATTTACTGCCTCTGACTTTAAAGGGGGTCCTAAAATATTTCTTCTGGCCAGGGGAGATTGATGAATATGTATTTACTGCACATAGGAAGCTCTATAGTCAAAATGGAGACAGTTTGAAAAGGACTGATGACAGCTCAGTAATTCTTTGCTRATATTACTCAATGCAGTGTGGTTAACCTGCAAGGCAGAGCTCAGTTACCCATCCCCCAAAAATAATAAAATAAAAGATATAATTTTCAATAAATGCTTTGTTACACAAACTCTGGAGCCTCAACTATTTTCTTCCCTCTTTTCAGAAACATTAAACCAAACTGAGCCAATTTCATTTAGGGCACAAAAAACATGTTTACTATGTAAAAGTCCTGGTTCCCTTCCAAACAGCTCACATACCAGTTTGGCTTGTGGCTCGCCTGTTTGTTTTGGTAACTAATACACACTTCCCTTTTGTTCGTCCCTTTTAAGTGGATCATGGAGCAAAGGACACCTTAAAACTACGTATGCTAAAGTGATGTGGCATTTTCTTGCAGATGAAGCAAATGATGCTTTGAGTCACAGACACACCATTCAAAATGCATTTTCTACTTACAAAGTGTCATGCTTCAATGTTTTTGATGAGATGTCTTTGGGCAGAAATCATTTTTGTAGTTAAGATTAAAATATATCTGCTCAATGTGGTTGCCATTTTATTATTACTTTTTTTAAAAATGTGTTTCAGTCTACAATAAAAGTTGTCATTCATCATTTCCAGTATGAAAATAACCATCTGTCATAAACAAACTCTTCCAAAATAACATGTTTATTGCCAAAAAAAAAAGAAAAAAGTTTACAGTTTACCAGCACAGATATTGCAGCCAAAATTAGCATCAGCTGTCAGTGGAGTTATTTGCAGAATTAAACTTGTTTTGTTGCTCAACATTCTGTGTTCATATAATCATGCATCGGCAGGAAAATTACAAAATGTATTTCACTTTGTGGTGTCATTTTTTTTCTTATAAAAGTTCTTCTGAACCTACTGACCTTGATTGTTATGCTTTTAAAATACAGGATAGAAATACATGCAACATCGACATGTCATTGGTCACAGTAAATTTTAACTATATAACTCAATAAATACTCACATTTTCATAAAGGGCTTGCAGAGTCTCCAAATCGACAACAGTGTTGTCCATATTTAGGACAGCTGCGAGCAGAAGACAAGGGTGACATGGTTAATGTTAAAACTAACACCAGGACATGTCTTGACATTTCTTTACCTTGAACTAACACCATTAACAAGCAAGAAATCAAACCAGCACAAACAGACCTCCTCTGTCAAAAGCAATAGATTACAACAGTTCTTTGGCTGACACACAAACCACAGAAAGACGGAGTGCTTGCTCAGATCAGGGTTTCCTGCTTACGGAGCTAAAAGGTAGCATGAAACCGGCTCAAAACTCCCATGTGCTGTATGCACCGAGTTACTATTATCACACAACTATCGCATGCAAAGAGTCACGTGCTAAAGCATAAAAACGAAAGACTTAGAAATCTGTCAAAAGGTGCAATGATGTGTGTTTGAATGTCTGTTTGAATTCCTCGTGTCGCCTTTTTGTCTCGGCGCGAGGACCTGGCGCCCGCGAGCATTAATCCTTTCAAAGTAAATGTTTAAAGACAAACAGAGCCTAGGGGTCTGTGGTGTCGGGGCTGAGGTGTTGCTGTACACACAATCACCAAGTGAAGCAGTCAACACCTATATGTGCGTTTCATCACGCCGTAGGTGCTGAAATTATTCAGTGATTTGACGTGCCGATTTTACTCGAGGAGCAGGAGGGGAACCGTAACGCCAGAGAGGCTTGGAGCCCTCGGCTGAGCTTGAATGTAGAGAAGGAGTGAACATTTCAGCTCGGTTTTCAAACAAAAGATCAAAAAGAACACTAGGATTTTGCAAAAATAGTGTGAAAAAAAGATGCATTCCTGAGTTTTTTCCCCCATTATGTAATGATTTTTAGCCTTTTTTATTTTGTCACTTTTAAACCACATCAACACTTTCTTTTCCTAATTTGTTGATGTCACTTTGACTTTACATTCTCTTTCAAAGGCTCTACAGAAATAAATAACATCCTTTTTTCCCCCCCCCAGTCCCCCATCTTTCTGTTTCCACCATTTGGATTTCATTACCCATCGGCATCAGAGCCTGCATGAGCTGTCCGGTTTGAGAAGAAAAGCTGTATCGTCACTGTGACGTAGACCCCTCACGACCAAAAACCAGACCCATCTGCCCACGTCCATCCAACCACCGCATTCAACCCCAGCATGGCGCCGGCAACCACCACCCGAGTCTGTGACTGGCGCTCCAAAGCCTCACAGGAAGCAGACACTGCACGGAAGCGTCCTATGAAACATGCAGCGTGTCGGCCAAGTCTGAGAACAACCAACAACAGCTGCGAGGAAAGCAGAGGAAAAATATGTTGCGTTCGCTCTTGGTCGCTGAGCTGATATAAACCAACACGACAACAAAAAAAGTCAATGATTCATAAAAGTTGTTTTTCTTCAATCTGTGCTTTTCAAAATAACAAGCTTTGCTAGTAAATGAGCTTATGAAATCAAAAGGAAGCACAATTGATTCCCATTAAACTGAGATGATCACAAAGCTTTCATGAATGAATCTTGAAGTTTTCGTAAACAAATTGTTCTTCGACTCCTAAATCTTAAACCTCAAACGACACAAAAAGGCATAATTACATCTCAGGGAGACAATAGCATCTCTAATATGCTGTCTTTTGGGCTTCGTGCTTTTCATTAAATTCTATTTATTTTGTTTGTGGAAGGCAGCAGACTTCACACTTATTTATTTTGTTTTACGACCAAGACTTCCTCTCCACCTTGATCTCATTCTTTGAGCTAAACTTAGGCTTTCAATTAGTGCTAACTGTACATCACTTCAAAACTGTCCTAACACAGGAAACGGATGACAGTACTGATGAGACTGGCCCTCGCTTGCCCTCCCATCCAGACCCGAGATGTATGCGTCAAACACATTAAAGCTGAAGACTCAACACTTGGTACAGGAGAACTCTTGAAGACAGGCACAGCTTTAAAAGGAGGTAATAAATGCTCCACTGTTGAGAGGACAGAAAAGATGGGGAAACGAGGGAAAGTGTTTGGACACACGGATGAGCGAAGACTAGGGTGCAATCAGAGTGTAACTAAAACAGGAAGACTGTCTGTTCCCATCAGCGTCTCTGCAATGACTTCACCTTAACAAAGCTGCCCAGACAAGATGATGACAACTCAGAGGGAGATGGAGAGCCGCAGAAAAACATGCTGTGGGTGTTAAATGGGGAGAGATTTCGATAAATGTGAGCAAGGAAAACCAGAGGGGAGGAGAATACCGAAAGGTTTAACCGCTCAGATGCTTTTTACCATTATGGCATGTGATGAGGCAAGATTTTAACGATAGTTTTGGTATTGAAGAACCTCATACACAACCCAAAAGACTAAAATAGGAATTGGTTCATAAACAAATTAGGATTTTAATGCTCCCCAACCAAAAAAAACAGAGGTGTCGTCCTGGAACCGGAAGGTCGCCAGTTCGATACCCGGTCCACCCGTCTCAGTTGTTGTGTCCTTGGACAAGACACKTCACCCACCTTGCCTACTGATGGTGCTCAGAGGATCTGGGTGCATGGCAGCCTCACCTCTGTCAGTGTGACCCAGGGCAGATGTGGCTCCAGTGTAGCTTACTACCATCAGTGTGTAAATGTGAGTGTGAATTTGTGAATGACTATAGTGTAAAGCGCTTTGGGGTCTGGAAGGACTTAAAAGTGCTATATAAGTTCAGTATCATTTACCATTTTACCATTAAAACTTTATTGCATAAGGCAAGTAGCTCACCAGGGGTGAGCATTTATTTTCTACAAAATTGAAATATTTAGTTTCATCAGAAATGCCTGCATAGCTGATTTTAAGCTTAAAAAGAAGCTGCATGTCACAATCCAAAGCGGTGTCCAAAATTAAGGCTAGGAATCCACTTTGGATTGTGAAACATCAAGAGGTGGATCTGGAGATTATCTCAAGAAATAAAATAAAATTTAGTACTGATCAGTAAAAAATGTTTTGATGGTTTTTTATGCATTCATTGCCAGAAACAAAAACTATAAATAAAAAGTTGAAAAGCAGTAAGTTGGTTGTTAAAGCTGTGTTCTCATTATCTTTGTCTTAAACTGGCCTATTGTTTTTAAGAAGCACCCCATTTTTATTTTCCCCCCAAAGAAACTAAAAAGTTAGATAACCAGGGCCAGGCAGCATAAGGCAAATGAAAGGGTGCCATCCATCTAGGGGGGCTTCACAAATGGGGGATAAAAAAATCTTGAACTTTTTATCAGAGTATAGTTGATTTAGTCTGTAGGATAAACACTGGTTACTCAGGTTTATGAAGGTAACTTGTTGACCTATAATGTGTAGTCAAGACTAATTACTGATGCTCAGTGTGTAAATAGAAAACCAAATCAGGAGAATGGAAGTTTCAGTTATGATTTAAAGTTTAGGTTAGAATCTGGTTCTCAGTCATCATAAAATACTAATTTTATGTTGTATTAATGCCAATAATTTAATAAAATGCTCTTTATTTAGTTAGAAAATGCATAGTTTTGAGTAGATCAAAATTTCCAGGGGTGTACTCGTGGGCCCCCCCTTGAACTGCTTCACTCCACAGCTGCTCTTTAACATGAACAGGTACTCCTCATTGCTGATAATAAAGACAAAATTAATTTGATATGTAAATGGATATRAACTGATAGCGAAATTTGGAAAGTTGCACAAGAGGCACCATGTGAAATCTTGCTTAGGGTGCTAAATTGTCTTGGGCCGGCCCTGTTGATAACCACTGTTTCACAAACTGCAAACACATGAAGTTTTTCCTTTAATACTTGTATTGGTATTTTATGTTTGCTGAACWTGACAGATATAAATCAGTTATAGCCACATGTTACTTACCATTCTGAATATCCTTCATATCAAGATGAATGCTGGACATCAGGATACCAACAGCCTGTGAACGCTTGTTACTCAGCAGTTTCACCACCTAAGAGAAAATGCAAAGRAACAGCAGCAGGAAGGGTTAAAGCAGGTCACATTCAAAAAAGATGCYAACGTTTCAAACCATGTCCAGAACACACAAAGTACACAAAAGCAGATAAAAATATTTAATGGCTGACTGGAAATAAGAGGTARAACATCATTTGTTTTCTTTTTTGTGTGGGATGAAATATTTTTCCCCACCAAGCATTAAAAAAAAATAATGCCATGATTATCACTTACCATTGTTCTCTAATTCTCTGCATCCATCATATTTCCATCAGGTGATTAAAAACTTACAGATCACTGAGACAAGAGGATTATTTTTTTATGCGGAGCATGGTCGTATGAGTTCACTTTCTGGAACGGATTAAACTGACTGACTTTCACAAAGTTTTGGATGAGATTGTGGTTGATGTAATTAAACAGTGTAGGATTATTTTAACTTTTTTTTCCAAAAAGGAAACAAGTTCATTCAGTTCAGAATAGTGAAAACAACCGAGACAAAATTAAAACACCTGAACAAGTTACTTTATGACCAAATAAACAGAATAATGGCTTCCTTTTCGGGAAGTGTCAATATGCATCATTACCTCCATCCCTGTGTGATATGCTGAAMTAAAGCTTGTCTGAGTAAGCAAAAGTGTGTGCTGGGTTGCAAAGTGGTAAATGGACAGCACAGGAAACCCAAAGCCTACTGAGATCCAGACAGAACGCTTCCATTGAAACCAGATCAGACAGACCACAGACCTCTTAAACATACAGGAAGTTATATCACCAGGCCCCAAATGTCTGTTTTCCTGGACCCGACCGCATTTTCAACGAGCGGGCTGACTGAGATGTGATGCTGACTGCTAAGCCTGTGAGATCTATTGGAGAGGGTGACTGATAAAAGACCAGCACCAATAAACCGTTACACGTTTTCTCAGCTGATTTGACTGTAAAAATTGGCCCAAAGCACATTAAAAGAGTTTCTCTCTGCATCATTCTGAAATCAAAATGCCCCAAAAATCTTTCAAAGCCGTGTTYTGAAATGAAACACAGCTGAATCTATGATCTAAAATATTTTTTGTGGCAAACCATTTTAATAAAACAACCCCAAAAGATTGATCTAATAAGAGTCTCATGGGAGCCATGTGTGTTTAAGCTTTTTGGCTTAAAGAAATCCTTTAAGTCATTATAATTATATGTTGATCCTTTGATCAATTAATCATTTCAGGGTTAGTCAATATCAATCCCATACAGCTCTGAATCACAAATAAAACACTTTCTTGTGGCACAACTTTGTCTCCAAAAAACTGAAAAAGAAGACATGACAGTTTAGAAGTTGGCAAAAAAAAATAAGAATTGCATGACTGATTTGTCACTTGAGATCAGAGCTGATCTAAAACTCTGCATATTTCTTTTTTCTGGAGTTTACCAAATTACAAGTCACCCATGTATTTATACATATTTATCACCACATCCACACTTCTGAAAAATATTTTAAAGATGCTTTGTGAGACAATTTGGAATGTCACATAAAGTGTTGTCAGTTTAACCAACTTGAAGTAACCTGCACAACACATAAGCTCCTGACAAACTGATGACAGATCAACTTTATTTTTGAATGTCATACTTTTTTTTTTTGACTTTGCCATTTTAAAGTGTTCATGATATCAGTTTTCTGTTATACATATGAATGCATTTTTGGAACACCGACTGAATATTACCAAAGTTTCACGCCATTGAGATATTCACATGTGAAGTAACAGGAAGTGAAAAAGGGGAGTGTCATGTGAACAGATTATTGCTACAACAGCTGTWGAGGAGAATCTGATTTTTTAAATTATTTTGAATCATTATCAGAGATAGTTGAAGAGTCTCGAGTTCAAATAACATAGTTTCAATAAACAGCAATCAGGGAGTTCTTTTAAAGAGTTCCCCTTTGATGTCACTTCCTGTTTCCTGTTTTGACTAAGACAAGTTCAAAAGAAAAATATGTCCGTTATGTGACAAAATGGGTAAATCATGTGCATTATGCCAAGTTTTTAGACAAACAGATTTTTTTGGACTTTCTATTTGAAGGATATGGATGTCAGAGGAATATTAAACTCAACACAGATAAAAGGCTACTTAAGCAATCTTATAACAGAATTGCCAAAAGACAAAAACACCAAAAAAAGTGATAAATATATCTATTCAGATATACAAAAAACAGAAGCTGTGYGATTTCATACATGCACATTCTTAAAACAAAGAATTTTTGTAGTTATTTTTTGTCCTGTGTTTTGCACACTGCAATTTATTATCTAAGTGTGGACCAGAAATAGATCACATAARGCAATACTAAAACACAATTACTCATTTCACCTCAACGTAAGAAGCACAGCAGCAYGAGAGCTCTCCCTCAAACCTGTATTGCAAAAAGGTTACGTTGACACTTGACATGCTGCACTGACAGTAGTTCTTGACATCTAYTACTTATGTCAGCAGAGGCCTTTACAACGGCCAAGTGATGACGTCAAAGCTGCTCTCTAGTGGCAGCTCTGAGGATGATGTGTCCCTTCTCATTTTAAAAAGAAAAGCAAAAATAGATTCACAGCAATCGGAAGGTTAGGAGTGGTTTTGGGAGAAGAAAATATGATTGACACGGTTTAAGGTGGGTGCTTCTCAGCTGGACATACATGCTCACTTTAAATTGGGGTCAGTCCAAGTTCTGGTTTTTATTCWTTTTTTTCTTCAGAATTTTCTCTTGAATAACCAAAGCAGTCCAAAATAAGCCTTGTACAGTTCTTTTTTTTTTTAAATCACAAATTGTATTTTACATTCAGATCCAGTCACAACATGAGAAACTTTGGCTTAAACTCCATTTTTTGGGTGTCATATTTTGTCATTTTAAAAAAGTCAAACTAAAAACACAAATAAGATCACAACTTTAAATGCTACAAATCTTCATATAGGCTCAACATGTGAAAAGCCAATGGGTTGAATGTGTTTTGGTTCACATTTTTAAGTCGCAGGGTGATTATTTTTTAAATCTTAGTTATATAAAAGGTTAAAATAGCAAAATGTTTGTTCGCCCCACCCCCATTACTTTTAACAAGCTCAACTTTGATGACAGCTTAATCAAATTGCCAGAACTAAAGCAGAAATAACTTATCAGCCTTCTGAATGGCTGGTTCAAYGTTGCCAAAGCCATGACGGGGCAGAGTGTAGTCTAGCGCTACTCAACCTTTTGGCCCTCACCAGATGAGGAGAGCAACCACAGCTCAAACAACTGAGATAGATTGAACTTTGATACAATCTTGGACAGGAATGTTGGGTTCAGACAGAGGACAGCGCTGCACCTTAGCAGAATCTGACAACAATCACCTTTAACTTTTACTCAAAGCTAGTCTTTATATGACATTCATTATTCCAAGCAAAAACACAGTTTTAAAGAAAAAGCCATATCAAATTTTGACCCCAAAAAAAGCTCAAAGATGGGGAAATGTTGGATCACCTAAAATACCAAATCTATAGGATTGCACATGTCATTTTTTGGGCAACAATTTTCAAAACACCTGCGAATAATTGAGCTCACAAAGAGCTTTATTAACTCTGATAAAATAAAATGTGGAGGGTGGTGGGGGTGGACTACTGGCACAAGAAGTTGCCAATGTAATTTCTGAACACCAGCTGCCTTTCGGAGCTCAGGACCACACAGATTGTGCTTCAGTGTACTGTTGCCACCCGTAGGGGTTAAAGCTTGCCCTTTTACTTTTAAGTTTAGACTAGGTATAGCCTTTAGACTTGTGCCTCTTCAGAAGAGTTAAATAATGTCATTACTTCACAAAACTACACAAGCCCGCATTCACTGATTGAGCCTATGCAAGCTTCATTTTTGTGGACTTTTCCAAATACAAAACCAAAGCTTTGGTTGTTTTTTCCCCCAGGCAACCATTCTTATTGAATCCTCTCAAGTCTAGAATGGAGCAAAGTTCTACAACACAGTTGGAAGTTAAAAAATACTCAGACCTAACCATGTTGTGAAAGTTGTAATCTCTTAATTCCTGTTTCTTAGGGAAAAAACAGTTTTTTGAAGAATAAAAAAGGTAATATAATAATGATGATCTGAGGATAAATCACTGATCTACACCCAAATATACAACACAAAAGTAAATTAGGCTGCAGATCTTCCTGACCTAAACTTTGCTGGCAGAAGAAACCACCAACATGAACACAGCCAGCAGAAATTAGGTATAAAAAAAGGCAAAGAGATGCTCTCCTTCTTGGTTGAACTGGAAAAGGTTTCTTTATCATTGCCAGCAGCCATTTATGTCTTGAAGAAACARGGCAATGGAAAAAAAATAGAAACTGCCAATCAACTTACATGACTGGTAAACAAATCCCAAATTATCACAGACACACTTGTATACATTGAATCTCAGCATAGATTTGACACACTCCATCCTGATTCAGACAGATCAAATACTTGTTGACTGCACACATGTTCTTTATAAACCATAGTAAGCTTGCTTTTCTAAAAAAAAATCCTTGCACTTTCACAAGCACAATTCTTCAAACATATTAAAATGAAAATAGTCTACATTACTTCTTGTACATTCAAAGTAATAGGGCCACACAAATATTTTTTAATTATGAGAATAAAAACATAATGAGAATAAAGTCATAATATGAGAATAAAGTTGTAATATTACAAGAACCTTTACATATAAAAGCAGTCTTCCCACTGAATTAGAATTAGGAATGTTGAGCAACTTTTGAAGTTGTTTTTAGTGTCAATTAAAAGAAATACTTCATCTTTTAGCACATTAGCATCAAATTATCAGTAGCAGGACTTTGAAACAACTGTGCAAACAACTATATGATAAACTGAAACACTGAACGGCTGCATTGTCAGATTTAGTTTTCATGTGATTTAGATTAAAAGCATTTTACACTAACAGTGACCCAAAAGTCATTGCGGACTACTTTATAAACACAGTGACACACATGGCTGTCTACAGCAAGGTGTGAGGAAAACGAAGAAAGGAGAAAAAAATTATAATAATAATCAGGAATGGAAAATGGGCATGTCAAGTAAGCTTGTTACTTTTTCTTATCATTGTCACATACGACTTTAATCTCATAATTAAAAAATAAATAAAATCTGGTAGTGTGGCCCTAATACTTTGTCGTAAGTACAGGAGTCTGCAGCCTTTACAATCAAAAGTGACATTTGTCTCACTGATAAAATATATTGAGCTGCAAGTCATTGTGGCCCACGAGCCACTTTAAGTTTGTTGAAGGGTTGGTCTCTGTGCTAACATGGTGACATACAACTAAAAATAGTGAATTAAAAAATACATTTTTACACTTTAGGATAAATAAATACAATATTCATGTAAAAAAAGAAAAATATATACTGGTAGTTTTTACGCAATTCAGTAGAAACATGTTTTTTTCTAATGAATTCACCAAAATTCTTCTCAGCAACTTGTTTTACAGCTATTATAAAAAGTTCCTGATGGGTTTAAGAAAAAAAGGACAAAGAAAAAAAAAGTCATACTATTAGGCTGGAAGGTGGATTATTGAAGTATTCAACAAACTAGTATGATCTAAACATATTTCACCTCTTGTATTCGTAGTATGGAACGCATATTTGCAAACAATGTATAGAAAAAATGCTAACGCAAACCTTAATCCATGAGCCACAGGTTGAAGCCCAAATAAGGTCCAAAAAAAGCGCTAATTTCTCTGCTTGCAAAGTATTCATAGATTTTGAAGTTTAAATATTTTTCTTAACTAAACTTTGCATTAGGGTTAAGCTTTATTTTGAAACATTTTATAATTATTCTTATCTGAATCAATATAAATWKTGTTCTATRTGAAATAATTCATTTTTAAGTTTTCAGTAAATTYAAGTGTTCTTTAAAGTGTCTCACCAGAGTAYGAGATGTACACACMGTGCAGATGTCAACAATTTTGTTTAAGACAAACAACACCTGGCAGCCCTTCAATAACCTTCCTACTTTTAAACTAACATCTCTGAACTAACACAGTCAGTCTGTGGAGTTGTTGGAAAGCGAACGCTCTTGTGCTTCACGAGAACGCAGCRGCTGTGGTGGAGTGGTTAGGGGAGTCGTCCTGGAACTGGAAGGTCGCCAGTTCGATCCCTGTCCAGTCGACTCAACTCGTTGTGTCCTTGGGCAAGACACCTTACCTGCCTTGCCTACTGATKRTGGTCAGAGGGTCCGGTGGCGCCTGTGWATSGCAGCCTMGCYTCTGTCAGTGYRCCCCAGGGCAGCTGTGGCTACAATTGTAGTTTACCATCAATGTGTGAATGCATGTGTGCATGGGTGAATGTCTGTAGTTTGAAGCACTTTTGAGTGTCCTGGTTGGATAGAAAGGCGCTACATAAGTACAGTCCATTTACCTCTCCGAGGAGAACCAGCATTTGGCTGTGTGAGGTTTGGCCCGTTGAGTCAAAGGGAGAACCTCTCAGCCTGGACACACCATCACCCAGTCTAGTCTATTTTGAGCTTACCAAAGTTCCTCACAAAGAAACTTTTGTTTTGAAACTGTCGAAAGGAAGTTTTCTATTTTTGAGACAGATACCGAAAAGCACCTCGTCTTTGATCTTCGGTTGAAAGCAGCCCAGAGAAGACGCTGATGTAATAACGTAAACACGCCTCGAAAGTGTGMCTGACGAGGTTCCAAGAAGTTCTTCACCAGTTGGACAACCTTTCCTCCGACTTGAGCCGYAGTGGGTGAACCTAACCCCGGTCAAGGTAATGGCTATTTGTTACTGAGCGTACCTGAGGTTTTGGCTGGATTCGTTGAGAGACGTCTGCCCTTTCTGGTTAAAATCCACATCCCTTAAAGATTAAAGTTAAATCTAACTAATCCTCTTCCTCCATCCTTCTTTCCTCTTAAACCTGCCCTGCCAAAACTTAAGAAAAGTGCCGCAAACAAATGATTTATTTACATCAAAACCTCAAAATTCGTTGTTAAACTTTTTATAGGAAATTAATCTCACAATAAGCTGTGCATTAGTGATTAATTTGATTCTGTAAATAAATGATCTTGTTTATTTTAGATAAACTTAAACTCACTATGTATGCTCATCTTATTGTGTTTGTTCATTCATTTTTGTACAAAGAAGATATTACCGAAAATAAGAAGAACCTGTGAATTTCCTCATAACTTTTGTTTCAAGAGTAGGTTATCCCTACACAGGTATAATGTATTTCTTATTAAATTACACTAGTTTAGAGTTATTTTTCATTAGAAATAAAGGGTCAAATTGAATAAAAGTTTAAATTGTATCTTAGTTTTAAATGTCAATTTATCAGTTCTCATGAACTAAAACATTTCCCAATAATGCTTATCCCTAAGACAAACATGTCGCCGCTGCAGAAACTGAGGATTCCCCAGAGTTTCAATTAGATGGGTAAAATGCTCTTCCCTTGAGCAACAATCTGTGATTTTAACACATAAATTTGAAGAACGGCACATCAATTTAAAGATCATGCCAAGAGCAACGATGAACTGTAGCTCAAATGACTGACTTGGAAATTTGATGGCGTGACAAAGTGTACTGAGGGAGAGAACCAGTCTGGCTATTAAACCAAGTCATAGAGAAAGCACAATGGGGAGGAACCACACCGTGAAATACAACTCCCAAGCTTCTCTTTCCTTCACTTATTTCCCTTCCCACTCTCTCTGAGCAGTCATCATGGTCATAACGTTTCCTCACCGCACGCGAGTCTTTGGCTCCGTGCCACTAGATGGTCATGAGGGAGTCGGTTGGGGAGCCAGATCTCACACCACATAATAACTGTCTGGCTGCAGCAGTTCCTCCTGTCACTCAAAGTGACTCTGGGAGCGTCAGTGAGGAGAAATGGAAAGGAATGAGACACAGGATTGAAAGTGACGACTGGGACAGGCCTAAAGGGTGCCAAATCTAGGAATACACACACCTGAATACAAAAATATAGATAAAAGGTTAAAAGAAAGAATCACATACCTGTTTGGCTTTTGACTTGCTGATTGTGTCTGAGATTGGCTTCTTCTTTTCTTTAACAGCATTTTTGGAGAACAGATCCATAAATTCTTCATAATTTATGGAAGGTTCCTCAATTTTTTCCCACACTAGTGGTCCAGTGTTTCTAGAGGTAGGATGAAAGATAAATTACTACTTAAACAGGAGAAGCTTAATCTGCCATTCTGTGGTTAAAAAAAGTACACTGAAACAGTTTTACGAGTACTCATTTGTCATCTTTTGCACGGTAAAACTCCAAAAGTTGTAAAATTGTCAAAACCCAACTCAGTATTATATTCCTAAAACTTTCAACGAAATGAAGAAAAGTATTTTAGACTTTTGTGCAGCTACATTTTTCCAAGCCCTAATAGGGAAAAAAACAAACAAAACAAAAAAAAATGTTCAAGTCAAGTCTCTGCTGACCACAAGGCCTGGAGTGCATCGCTTTTATTTTCCACAAGGTTAGCATCTCCGTTACCATTCACAGCATGTGGCTGATCTTTATCTTAAGTGGACAAGCTTCCTCTCAGACCTCTACCGTTCAGAAAATACTTTTGTGCAAATGATCCACATCTATCTCGACTCTCGGCGTGTCCTTACTTTTTAGCGTGCAGCTGTATGCGGGTCCAGTAGAGTGGCTTCATGGGCTTGGGGGGCTCGATCACGGGCTTGGCAGGAGCAGCTTCCTGAATCATCACTGAGGGAAAGGGACCTGGAGGAGGTGGAGGGCCAAAACCTGGAGGCGGGGGAGGAGGAGGGGGGCACATTCCGGGTGGAGGAGGTGGGGGTAGTGGTCCTGCACCAAGTGGAGGAGGAGGAGGTGGTGGTGGTGGTGGAGGAGGAGGTCCAACACCTGGTGGTGGAAAAGGTTGTGCACCAGGTAAGGGAGGTGGAGGCGGCGGTGGAGGAGGTCCAACACCTGGGGGTGGTTGTGGAAAAGGTTTTGCTCCAGGTAAGGGAGGTGGAGGTGGTGGTGGTGGAGGAGGAGGGGCACCTCCTAGTGGTAATGGAGGAGGTATAGGCTTATCTTGTAAGCTTAGAGAGGGGGGAGGGGAAGGACCTGGCTGGCTGCTGACCTGCTGCTTCTGTTTGCAGGTACACACAAAGTTCTCCGCAGGTTTGGAAGTGGAGGTCGAAGCAAAAGACGTGATGTGCCCAGATCCTTCATTCAAAGGCACGGTGAATTTAACCCCTTCCTCTACAGGTGAGGTCTGAACAGACACTTCCTGGTGCCTGCTCTCCAGTTTCTCACTCCTCATTTGTGAAGTTCTGTGAAGGGCATTGCCAAGAGCTCCCGTCTTATCCTCGCTGCTCTTTAACAATGAAGCCTGCTGGGCCTCTAACCCAGCAATCTTGTGCCGCAGGTCATCAACCGTCTTCTCCAGCTGGGGCATCAGACCACTTTCGTCCTCCGAGGATGACTGTCCTGCCTTCAGCATGCTAGATTTTGTCTGTCAACAAACCAAGAAACAGACAAAACAAAAGGGGTAGAAAAAAAATCATTTTAAATGAACTGCTAAACAGCACAAAGAGCGCATCATAAAAATGTATCATTCATCAATTAATCTACAATCCCAAAGGACAGAGCAAAACAGAAAACAGTACAATGATTTGCAAATCATTTTCAACATGCATTCAATTGAACACACTACCAATACAAGATATTTAATGTTCATGTGAATGAACTTGTGAACTGAACCTTTCAGGAATGCTCCCTTCACATCCAATCATGACTCACACATTTCCAATTAACCTGTTTACCTGTGGAATGCTCTAAATAATTGTTTTTTGCACATTTTCAACTTCCCTAGTCTGTTGTTGTCCCCGTTCCAGCATTTTTTGGAATGTGTTGCAGACATATAAATCAAAATGAATGAATTTACAAAAAAAAAAAAATGCAATTAAATTGATCTGTTTGAACATTAAATATTTTGTCTTTGTAGTGCATTCAATTGCATATATGCTGAAAAGGATTTTCAAATCATCATATTCTGTTTTTATTCATGTTTTACACAATCTCCTAATGTCATTGAAATTGGGGTTGTATTAATTACTTGGATTGCACAATTAGAAATGCACCAAATAATCTGCTGTTTTTATTTAATTACCAAAAGTTACTAAACATTCAAATACAATTGAATGAGTTTGGCAACAAAACTGTTAACTGAGAAAAGGTCAAATGAAGGTGAAGTGTTCTTGATGTCTAGACTCCATCAGGTCTCTGGCTCCTCTGGTCAGATCAAGGACGAGGGGATATAAGAGATTTGACTCCAAAGACAGGGAATCTTACCTGGCTCCCACATAGGGAGGCTCTCTGACCTTTTTTCATTAATTCCCTTGATGGGATGATTTGTTTGATCCCAAGGATCCTTAGCTATTTTTTTTAACGTTCTAGAAAACAGGGTGCTTCCTCTTGGACAATTTTATATTTTTTCTCTGAGCATGTCTGACCTCTGGTGGACAAAAAAAGAAAACACCTCACAACTCAAATCATGCACAGTATCCAAAGATTTGTAAGAGTTGGAAATATCCCTGAATAATGAAAATGGCAGTAATAGATATTAATTTCAYATCATCACCAATATTTATACATATATTGCAGTACTTATTTTTTGTTCTTTCTAAAAAGTGTTTTTTTAACCCTCAAATACCAAATGAGCAAATAAATAAAATACGTATGCACCAATAAGGGGTGTAACCAACCTGAAATTGCAGCCCGCCAGGTGATTTGGATGATGATCGATGCAAAGTGGATCTTAAACCTCTGCCTGTTGATCGGCCYCCATAGAGTTCCCATAAGTGGGAGGAGACTGGCAGGCCTACAGATGCCCAGGTATACAACTGCTCTTCCTGCATACAATTCCAAATCCAAAAATGAGTACTTTATATACACACATACTCTTTGATACTCGTTGCAGTCTGTACACTCACCATTTGCTCCACACAAGGTCTATGCAACCAATGAAATAGTGAAAACTCTGTTTGTGGGTCACTGTGAGGATTAATAAACAATTTGACTGTGCAGTTTCCTTCCTTTCATGAATTCAAAATCAATCCTGAGGCAATAATCAGTGTTTGGCAGGTGGTTACATTTTATTTTAGGAATGTGAAGAACCGTTACAGTGAGATCTGATTCTTGATGGCACCTCAGTTGTTCTTAGTCAAAATGAATAATACAGAACTCCGGGGCAAATCTGGAGCGGAGCAAGTCTGTCCAATCCTGACACGATGAGCTGTTTGCTGGAGAAGARCAGGCTGAGCTCAAGGCACGTGGAGCCGTTACATAATGTAGTCAGCAGATGGTTTACGCAAGCATGAATGTGTATTTTGTGTCTGTGTGTGCGTGTGTGTGTGATCGTGAGGGAATTTGTTTGTCAGAGAGTGCAGTTAATCCAACCCAAGAAAACCCCACCACTTGTCTCTCAGGCTAATGAATGGACATGCGCCTTTGAATTCGTGCAACTGTGTCTGTGGGCACATTCTACGTTAAAAGCAACATTAAATGTGCAATAGAAACAGGATGCTACATTTGAGAGCTCTAAATATACAATAAACAACTTTAGAGATTGTCTAGTTAATGATTTTTGTTTGTTTTTGTTTGTTTTGAGTGAGCTTCTGGCATCTTTTGATTCATTGTAGTTATTGCATTAAAACCTGGGGAAAATATCTAGAACCATCCAATATTTGTACTGAATTGTTACAATAAAAAAAAGTTTTGAAAGAAAGAAAAATAAAAGCATCTGTCTCCAACTAAAAAAAATAAACATTTAATAGTGTCCTTACTTTCGAGACATTAATACAAAAATAAATAAAAATAATAAAATAAAAAAATAAATTCTTATTTAATTAAACCACTTTTTATAATGAAATCGCTGTAATAAATTAGAAAACAACGTTTCTGAGAATGGTACTGGCTAACTGAGCAGGTGAATTTGATGCCATTAGGTTTTAGTAAAGTATTACTGCAGTGAAGAATGAAATGGTCGGTCACATGGTTACCCAGCCTGCATGCATCACTGCTTTTGAGGAAAGAGAATTAATTCTCTTCAACATGAACCATGGGTTATATATTGCTGAATTATCTTTGCACTATTACACCCAAGATGTAGCTGCTAATTAAATTTTAGGTTAAAGTATGCATGTTTTATGAACACATTATCTTAAACACCAACTCATATTATACAGTTTTTATAAGGTGACATAAAACAAACAAACAAACAAATAGAAATGAAAAGTGGTACATTGCATATTCCAAAATCTGAAAGTGTGTGGATGTCACCAGACCCCAAAGCAGTCATCAGTCCCATTATTTTTTTGAAATTAAGTCCTCTGCACAATTCTGATCCTTTTAGACAGCATGAAATGTGTGTCATGAATTTTGTAAAACAAGAAAGAAAGTGTGAGGACAGAAGTCTTACACTGAAGACTGCCGAGACGGTCCCGTCACTGTGATGTTCGGTGTTGCTGTCACTGAACGGGTGCAGCAGACCATGGCCCAGCATTCGGTGACACAGTTCCTTTGCTTCCTCCTCTGCAGACCCGTCTCCATGACACAAACAAAGCCTGTCTAACAGAGTGCGACCTGACAACATGAGAAGAGGACATATCTGGTTAAAACTATTTTTGCTTATTTTTAAAACAGGGTGATTTATGAAAATTGCTACAATGACACGGCTTGATCTAACCTGAGATTTGCACGTTTCAGATTTATATGTGGTAATTAAACACTTACATGTGTGAACTTTGCTCACACATTATTATGCAGAAGACTAAAAATGGTACTAATTGGGATATGCAAAAAATTAAAAATAAATCGTGACACTTAAGCTGCCACATAGTAAAACTTTCACCTGCATGACTTGAATCTCTTCATTTTTTTCCTGAACATTAATAATCTGGACATAACTGAAATAAATGGATATGGGGGTAAATTTTTGGTGTAGAATTTGTTATTTTATTTCAAATTTTAAAATGCTGAATTACGCTGAGTTATATAAAACTGGCCAACTTTCTTTGGTTTGATTCTCTGTACTCAATTACAAAACATCAGTTTGACTTCATTTCCTCTCTTTTTGTAAACTATGTAATTAAATTCATTAAATCAAAAGTCTCATGACTTGAGATCCTGTACACCCAAATTTAGACCCATTCTTAATCTTCAGTCAGTTATTGATTGTTTTTATTTAATTATTATTTTCAAAGACAGTCACCTTACATTTCATGCTTTGGGTTCAAAATTTTATTCTATCAGTGAATGTTATTTTTGTGCCCTGTTTTTGACAGTCAAACAAATCGTCTCTGCATCTCCTCTCCACCTCAAGGAGCCAAACATGACCTGAAAAAGTCACTCGGTTGTTCATAATCTTAGATGTGTTGAACTTTTATGTGGCTGTCCKATAAAAGCATGACAGATCATGGCAGACAAAAAGTGAATTCAAATTTCGTTGTTGATTTATAACAACAACAACATATCTAGGGCTTAACTCAAAGTTCAGCTGATGAAACGCAAATGGATTGTGTGTTTGTTGCAGATAACCCACATGCATTGGGCATCCCCAAAAGCACACTGATGTGCTTGTGTTTTTATTTATTTATTTATTTTAAATCAGGCCAAAGGAATCAGCATTGGTGACAGTGAATGAAAGCTGAAAGAACAGCTGAGACAGACCTAACGGCAAGTAGGATGGTGGCATGACATTGTTTCACTGAACTGGAAATGGCCTCTGATTTAGGAATTTGTACTTTGAAGACATGTCTTGGTAAAGATTTGGTTTTTTAATCATTGTTCCTGTAATAAATAGTTAAGTTATAAGTAGGTGTGTTTTGATTTTAAAGATCAGTTAACCAGATTTATAAATCAGAATGGCAAAGGTGTGTTTATAATGCTGTTGTTTATCGTCATGAGGCTTTAAAGAACTCACCAGTGAAGACATCCAGGTAGGGAGCTGTTGAAGAGGAAGTCTTCCTTCCATGAGCTCTCTTGGACCCCAGGGTCCAATAAGTCCCACCTGTAAAGCTCTTCTCTGAAGTGTCTAGCCCTGAGACTTTGGCCACACCAGTTTGGTTTTTCTCCAGTTCTTCTGCGTCTCCAGAAAGTCCACCAATGGACGAAGACCTCTGCTTCCACCTTCCAGTCTCTTCGGTTGTGCTGGATTCCAAAGCAGCACTGAAGACATCAGTTTTCCTTGGAACGTTGGGGCTTGTAAGAGGGGAACCAACTGGAGAGGTGAGTTGCCTGGTTGTGGTTTTAACATAAGAGGGGTGGACTGGAGGGTAGAGCTTGACAGTGGAGGGAGAGCTGGCAGATGGCCTAGGAGGAAAACCAGCTGGATTGTCTGCTGTTAAATGACTGATTGACATGCTGCTCTTTCTCCGTGTAAGGGAACGGAAATCTTGTTTCACGCAGTCTTCTTCATCCCTTTCAATAGAAAAGTCCATACTATTCGCTCTCTTGGGAGTCCTAGTTGGTGCCCTCGTCAATACAAGATCCAAATGGACAGATGGTACACAGGGGGTTTTGTTTTGTGCCTCACAGTTCTGTTGACTTTGCTGTGGGTGCAAATCGGGACTGTCCAGCTCATCCTGGGGCTCCTCAGCACTCTCAAATGAAGTAACGGTGGCAGTAGTGTCCTGGAAACTGTAGGTGCTGTTAGTTTTTGGAAACATGCTACCGCTGCTTCTCTCTGTGTCTGGAGCAGAAGACGGACCACTCTCACTGGATGAATGTCTTGATAAAGGTATGCTACTCATTTTGTTCTCTTGTTTTTCATTTTCATTAACAACAGATGAAAAGAACACCTCTTTATTCTGATTGGATAACGTTGGCGATATTACTGTCTTAGGAACTTCACTCACCTCGATCAACCCTGCAGAGAAAGAGCAGGGTACCATTTCTAGCATCTTGTCACTGATTATGCCTTGGCTCTGAATGGCCTGCTGGATGTCAGAAAGTAGATCTTCCGTATCTGCTGCTGAGTGGAAACTGTACAGGTCCGCATCCGATCCAGAGCTTGTTTTTCGGCCAATCTCCTCCATAGTCTGGTGACCTTCTTCATTCAAATGACTTAGATCCCCTTCAAAATCTGATAGCATCTCATCAGGTGACAGGCTCGTCTCCAGGCCAGGCTTGAACTCAGCCTTGTCAACAAGTGCTGATCTCCCATCTTCCAGCATGTCCTCCTTAGATAAACCTTTCATTTTGGATAAACTTTTCCGTATTTTCATGCCAGAAAACACCGAACCTTTGGAGTCTGCCTTTAATTTCTTCTTACTGTGTTCTCCTTTTTTGCTCATCTTGTTGTTGGACTTTTTCGATTGTTTATCCACTTCTCTCTCATCAGCTTCATTCTCACAGTCGCCATCCCCTGCTGCTCCAACACTTCCTCCTCCTTTCTTCTGCTTTGTTTCCTGGCCCCCCATGTTCCTAAGCAGGCGAACACCCTTGGCTATAAGGCCATGCTGTTGGGGTCGAGACTGAAATGCCTGGGTTTCCCTCTGAGCTGCTGCTTCTTGGTTGGATAAAGCTCGCTTGGTGCTAGCTAGTCCCTGTTGTCTGGCCGGCACAGATGAAAGCAGCTGTGAGGWTGATGCTGGCTCCCCCAGCCCTGCTGATGCTGATGATGAAAGGAGGAGGAGACTGGCACTGACAGCTACGGGCTCTCCCCTCCTCCCTTGCGCAGCCTCACTCATCCTCTGATCCTCTCTCCCATTTAACCCCTCCCTTTTGTTTCCATCTGCTTGTGCCGACTCGGCCGTCTTGCATAACGGGATGCTGATCGAGCGAGCGAGCCGCTGACGCTCTGGGGTTTGCTGCCCGGCTCCATTTTCAAACCTACTGGGATGAGACTGCTTAGGACTCTGCTGTGGATTCTCTAAAATGCATTGCTGCTGATTAAAAAGCGAGTGCTGTTTATGAAGGATGTGGGTGACACTGCTCTTCCTCCTGCCCTTGAAGGTGCTGGTGAAAAAACTCTCTTTCAGAACAGGAACTTGAGTCTCCACTGTTTTAATGCTGTGCATTATCACTGCTTTGGCTTCAACCAAAAGGGAGCAGATATGCACAATCTGTGGCAAAGGAAGACATCAAAATTACATAATGTCCTTTCTGTAATAT